AGCAGGGAAAGGGTCTGGGCCTTCAATAAAGGCTAGCCTGCAGAAGACAAAAATAAGGGAAGCAGTCGTCAAGCTCCGGGCACCGGTGTGGTGCCGGCCGAAGGCTCTCCGATGCTTAAGTCAGCTAAGAAAGGGTAACTTTTGCAGAGTAATAGTAAAAGGCAGAAAAGTAGTTACCCCTCTTACTAGGGTACTGTTCCCTTTTTATAGGGAAGTGAAAGTGGGAGGTTGGTGTAGATTTCCGATGTGGGACTCTGTGCAAGTCGCCGCGGTGGTGACACGTGTCATGAGAATTAGGTTTAACAGTTTGTGAGCTTTGGCAGTCGGGAGTTTCGGCAGGTGCTTGGCCCCTCGGAAGAGTGTCTTCCTTCGGCAGGAGAGAAGGTGTGTCTGCCTTGGTGCTGGTTGTTTTGAGACTGGATATGCTCGGTTGATTATGGTGTAAACAGATTTAACAATAATTTGACATAGATTTGAAATGATTATGTAAAAAGAATAAATTGAAATTGATTTGATTATAAGTATTTATTTATATCAAATAAAAAGAAGAAGCTGTTATTGGCACTCTAACAGAGTCATCACGCACTCATTTATTTGTAATTTTTTCCTCTTATCTGTATATCTATATATAAAATAAAAGACAAAGAAAGGTAAAACATTCAAAATACCATAAAATGTCATTCGTTAATGCAAGCATTAAGAATTGAAATTATTAATTAAATGAGGATAATATGGTAAATTCATACTTTTTTATATTAAAAAAATTAAAATTAAAAGAAAAATAAGATAATGGATCATATTTTTATGAAATACAACTACCCATTATCTTTTTCAATTGTAAAATAAATTTAAATTTTTTTTAAAAAAACCTCTTGTAAGCACGGAAGCATGTGCGAAGAGACTAATATTTTTATAAAAGAGGAGTACATAATAACTTTTTTGGAGCGTAATTAACAGTTTCCTATAAGATATAACAACTCTGCTCCAAAGTTTATTGCCTAAAGCCCAATGCATGCTGAAGTTTTATTTGGAGATTAGATATCAGGCCCAAACCAAAAAGATGAACAAGATCATATATATATTTTTATTTTTGGGCCAAGAAGGAGGTGAACAATGCCATTATCAAACCATTTTGCGAAATCATATTTCATCCACCAAAAAAGTGGCCTCTTGTCTCGATATAAATGGTCTAGTGGTCAAATTTGAATTAGTGTGATTTTTTTGTGACTTTGTAACATCTAAGGTGTCTACAAAGGAAATGAATATGATTGGAACCAAAACTTATTTAACAGTTCACTTATTAATTTTTATTATTTACATATATCTATTATCACTCCATCTTCAAGGCCAGAGTCCGGATCCTAGACAGTCAGCTATGTTGAGGTCCACGTCCTCTTAGCTTGTCTCTAATCATAACAGATTGCACCGCTGTTGTCTCAAACTTCATTACCTAGGTCCATCAAGGTTGATCATGCCCATGAACCCTATAAAGACTTCCATGAAACGGGAGTAGTACTATTTTGCGATTTCCGACCAATAACGTTATGACATGCGTGATAACACTTCCACATGACATTATATTATTAGCCGGGGATAACAAAATAGTGCTATCCCCGTTGCAACTAAGTTTTTCATTCTGGGTTTGAGATTTAACCTCAGAAAGCCTTTGTCCAATTGCACTATATCCTTTTATTCCTGACATAGAAGCCAATTCTCAAATTGCATCATATTACAGATATGGTTGCTTTTCAAAAAAGCTGATATCAGCTTGCAAAGTCAGTTAGAACAAAATAGATTCAATGTAACTGTTCTGTCACCAGTGACAAACTATTTAGACTGTGTCAAGTTTTATACCATGCAAACTCATGAAGAAACATATCCAACAAGAATCAAAGGGATATAAAACCAGAAACATAAGTTGTAATCCAGAACTTTTGCTCTCTCTCTCTCTCTCTCTCTTAATTCAATCTTATCTGTAACAAAATTTTGAGCAACGTCTTGTTTAATATTTCAGTTTCATGAATTACAAATTGAAGTGAAACTGTTTCAAAAGATAAACAACACATAGAAAACCCATGATCATAACATTGTTCAAAACCAGAGAAGCATTCTGTTGTCCTGCACTGCATGGTATGCTGCTTCCACTATAGCACCCTTTCTTTTGCTGGATCCCTGCACCGCGATTTTCAAGAACAAATGTAGAGTTTGTCTTCCCACTGCTGAAAAGAACACTCCAAAAGAATGGCCCTTTATGAACCCGAACCATGCCTACACCCACCTCGGTATGTGATTTATTTCTCAGAATTGATAAAGCCTTGCTGTCTCGAACAAGAACATGCCCAAAAGCTAGTGATGGCTCAAGATACTTGGATTGGCAACCCACAATGTGGCCAGTTATGGTGCTGAAAGTTGGTAGTTCCACACCACAATCGGGGGCAAAAACTTCGGTGAAGTCATCTTCAGATGGTTTGCAGTTTACAGTGTTGTTGATAGAGCAGTTCCCCTTGCACAATTCGGCATATTGCAGTGCAATGCACCCGAGTCCAGGACTGTCATTTAGTTTTGAAAGTTTATGGGCTGTTCGGTTGTTGTTGATAATCTCAACAAGATCATTTGCAGGGTTTCCTGAAGGACAAACCACACCCAATGTCGCAAAATCAACATATGTGGCCATTCAAAACTCAAACCTACCTTCAAAATAATGCAATACACTTACACAAACATGCAGTCCTTATTTAATCTTTGAAAAAAAATAGATGACAAATATATACACGAAGAATGTGAAGAATAAGAATGTAGAAATTTTCTAAGTTAATCCAATCACATTGATTTTGATAGTTAAGAATTAAATGCCACTTTTCCTACTCTCACCAAGGAGTCTTACAAGTGAATATAACCACATCGACATCATTTTTAAGAAAAAATTGTAAAGGAAAAGGTTAACTTGTGATCATGGTTCCTACCGTAGAGAACCAAACTAGGCCACATCACAATAACCAACTTGTGATTGGGATGACTAGATGTGTAAACTCAAATTCTATGGTTGGGGATGACCATTCACTGGGACTCCGAGTTTTTTCAACGATCACAAAGGAGGAATGGAACCACTGAGACTGAGCATACCCTCATGAACATCATTTTTTTGGGTACTCCCCCAATCCAAGAAGCGATCAGATTCGAAACTGGAGCCCCCCCGCCAAATGCTACAATCTTTGGGAGGCAGGAAACACTAGCAAATAGCTAGGTAGGTACCTTAGGGGGTTTCGAGCCTCATACCACATGGGAGCAAACCATGCGATTGAGATTTGAAATATAGTGGAATGTGAATGGGAACTATGAAATTCTTAACTTTTATGCAAATGCTAGATCATAGATAGAGATAAGATATGTAAACAAGGTGTAGATGACATAAAGCACTTTTAGAGATCCAACTATAGCTCCCAAATCAGGGAGCAAAATGAGGCAGAAGAGCAATCTAATAGTGAGTGCTACTGTGCCTTTCTTGACTTTGGAAACTCTTATTACCATGATCGGTGATACGCTCCTCTTGTTGTCTGAAAAGACATTTTAGTGACTGTTGCAGTGTAGGACTTTCTCAATGGCAGTAATTAATTAAAAATAAATTAAAATAAATTATATAAATTAAGAGTATTCAGAACAGGACCTTCTATTTAACCCTTCATCTGTGGGCAAAGTGCAGAAAAGAAAGAATATGCTAATCTTATCTTAAAATAGTTACTTGACAAGCCAAAAAACCAGTATTTCTTTCAACTGAGATTAGCCAGAAAAAATAGAAAGCTATCTTTACCAACATCATTTCAGAACAGCAGCTCCTATTGAGAAAAAAGAAAAAAAAACAGAAACCACAAAGAGAATGTATATGCATAGTTCCATAGAGGAAAAAAGAGAAAACTCAAAACAGTTAAGAATTCAGCATAAAAAATGGCAAAGAATCTGTAAGTTGTAGCTGCAGAAACCACAAAGAGGGAAGAAAATGCAGGGTTATATAGTACCATGGTTCTTGGAGCAAACAAGAGCTGCTAGCAGTAGATGACTGACAAATATGAACCACCCACAGCAACAAAGCCGCTTCTTCACCATATTCACTTGTGATGTGAGCAAAAATGGGTTTTGCTTTACAGAGAAACCTGAGCAGGAAAAACAAAGAGAGAGAGAGAGAGAGAGAGAGGAAAGCTGTAAAGGGTATTGATTATTTTTTATGAACAATATGAGAGAGGTGTTTGCTTGGTGGGAATGGAAAAAGGGCGTGAGAAAGCAGAGATTTTCCAGGGGAAGGAAAAAAAGAAGTGTGAGGAGGAAAGTGCTTGAATAGTGATCAATGTTGCAGAGTTTAAGACAAAAAGACGGATGGTGGTGGACCCTTGTAGCCGCTGTGTGTTCTGTGCATGGATTTCTTTTTCTTAAGAAAGTCGAGCGCATTTCAAAAGATTTGAAATTAGGTGGGGCCAAATATTGACGGATTTTGGGGGATTAGTAACACTAATGGAACTATAGAAGACGAGTAGGGCTTGGGCCAATTATTGGCAAAGCAAACCATTCTGGGTTGAAAGAAAATTCCATTTGCTTCCATATGTTTACAATGGTCATGTGAGAAGAGAGACATATATAGAGAAACTATGTTCCATGTAAGTTTTTCTTCTACACGAGGCAGAAGGCTTCACTAGTAGCATTTAACTTTTGTTTTTCGAAACATAAAACACATTTTATTATTTTAAATTTAACCATAAGTCGCAACTATTCACCCACCGTTGCCCACACGGCCCAATGGGTGGATAGTTGCGAATTGAACTGTAATCACTTTTATAAATCTTCATCAAGAAATACTTGGGTTTTGGCCCACTATTTCCATTACCGAACAGACTTTGACGTGCTTCTTTTACCCATAAAAGCTTAATTGGTCTACCATACGGAAGCCAAGCCATAGATGGGCTTCAACCAAACATTGTAGACCCATCCAAATCATATTTCCTTGCACACACAACACTACAACAGAAAATGTCGAGGAGCCGGACCATCTAGAACTCTGCAGCTTCACCTACTCGCTCCTTATCTCACACAAGGGTTTAAGATATCTGCCCACTTCTTGCAAACAAAGCATTTTCTTCACTCTCAGCAGCTCGACTAAACCTTTGCTCATTTTCTTTCTCCATCTTTGTTTGACCTCTATCATGGCTTCCACTTTCGTCACTCTACCAAACCCTTTGCTATGCAAACCCAATACTGCTTCTCTGTCGAACCAGAAGCTACTGCCAGGTGTGTTGAATTTAACTCCTTTCTTGACACTTTTCTTTTATCTTTCTTGAATGTCTAGACTTTCTTATAATTTGTTAATTTTTTTTTCTGATTTGTTATATGGGTTTTGTGCAGGTCTGCGAAGAAACTCTTTGAGAGTTAACGCAGTTTCCAAGAAATGGGAACCTACCAAGGTATTTTTTCTCTTATCTATACTTGTTTGAAGAATCAATTTCAAAATAGTTTGTGGTTTTCCAAACATTACATGTGGCTGCACTGCTAATTTCTACTTTGTATTTTTGACAATGAGTTATCTGGGTTTGATTTTTATGGTGGTAATTTGTGAGTGACAGGTGGTTCCTCAAGCTGACAGAGTGCTTATTCGTCTTGAGGAACTCTCCGAGGTATGCGGGTTTTAGTCATGTCAATTGAGTTTGAGAGTCTGGATTGGTAACTTTTTATGTGTTTCATTATTGTGAATCCCAAATATCTAGGTCAATGACCATTTTAGTTTAGTGTTTGAGCTTTTGGAATGTGAACCTTGTGAATATCCATAGGATTTCCAAATGGCTTTAGTTGCAAGCAAATTGAATTTTAAATTGCTGAATGAATCTTGAGCTCTGGTGGGCTTGAGTTCAACTACAGTTCTTGAATGCGATGAAGGATTTGAGCTTGAACTCTAATGGTTTGAGAAGTCATCCCATTTTGTTTGGCTTGCCTTTGTTAAAGGACTCAGACTAGTGGCAATTTGAGTTATATTGCCCATTGCGTGTTTATGTGGGCTGTGTCTCTGTTAGGTGGGCAATTATCTGACCGAAGTCTTGAGAACGTTGGCTTGAACATGATGAGGCACATGATCTGAAAGTTCAGTCATGATTGTTGATTACGTGTGCCCTCATGTGATCAAAGAGACAAAAGCCACCCCATTTGATTTGAGGGATAAAAATCTTACATCCCCCCACCCCCCAAAACAAAATCTGTCTTAGTTATGAATGAGTTTGTAATGGTGTTAGGCGGACTTGACTAGTTGTGAGTAGCCAATGTCCCAAAAGCATATTGATCACTGTATTAATTTCTTATGACCACATTCTCCAAAGAATCTTATGAGTGCTTTCAATTTGTCAACAATGACGGAAAATGGCCTACATTGCACCAAGTCCTTGCTGGCTGTACTTATGACAAATATTTTTGATTCATGGTTTTTGAGGGGACAATTATCTTATGGTTGGTTACAATGGGATTCCATTCAAAATTATGAAGGTTTTTAATATTTCATTTTTTACTTATTCTTTGGTTTTCCTTTTGTATGTTTGTCTCTTGAATGATATCAAGAGGTTGCACATTGATTGATGGCGGTTAGTTGGAAACAGTGGGTTCTAAAATTGACCTCATTGTTTGCATTTTTCTTCTTCTTCTTATTAGATAATGGAGAAATATCTATTTAGATTTGAAATTCTGCATTTTTGAAATATATTGCGTTGGTGTTATTTGTGTACCTTATCCGTTAATATTACCATGATAACAAACTGTCTTATGCCACAGAAATCAGCTGGAGGAGTTTTGCTGCCCAAATCAGCCGTTAAATTTGAGCGGTATCTTATGGGAGAAGTATGCCCACTGTTTCTGTCTCGTTATGATTAATTTTTTTGTTTTTGAAGTAACAAGTTTAATATCAGGATCTTCTAACAAGTGTTGTTATTCTCAGATTCTTTCTGTTGGTGCTGAGGTTGGGGAAGTCAAGGCTGGAAAGAAGGTGAGCAATTAAAACATTCTCAAATAATGGCAACTGTCTTCTGGTGTGAAATAATGTTGATTCGTGACATATATTGTTGCTTAGACGATAAGTTTCTGAGCTAGCGAAGTTTTTTGTTGTTTAATGGTTTATTCAAAGTAGTGATTTACGTGCTTACCATGTCATCTGAATTTTGAAATCCTTATCCTTTTGCAGGTTCTTTTCTCGGACATAAACGCATATGAGGTAAGTAGAATTAATTCAGTTGAAAATATTATACAGCTCTGGTGTTAAGAGTCTAAAATAAACTTTGATGAAGGACTTCCACTGTTTTGTATGAGTATATTCCATCACATTGTTAACCTGTGCGTTGTAACTTCTGGACACTTAAATGGCATAGAACGAACTTATTTACTTAACAATTGTCTTGTTTCATTGCTATGACATCAAAATTATCAACTATCTAATCTCGGTTGACTAGCATGATTGTCTGATACAATCATAGCTTATCTTGTGCCTGGTCCAGAGCATGCACAATTATTGTGTTGAGCATTGCTGACACAAAATTGGCACACGTTCTGTCTTGACCCCCATGAATGGCTGACTGTAAAGCAAGGAGCTGACATTTTTATCTTCTTTATAAACTGAAGTCTGTTGTGCAAATGGTCTATGGATTGTTGCATGCAATGGGTGCATATGGATGTTTGCACTATCAGTTGACAGTTTCTTTTACTGATAATGCATTTTTGACGTCTCAGGTGGATTTGGGAACAGATGGCAGGCACTGCTTCTGCAAAGAGAGTGAATTGCTGGCCGTAGTTGAATGAAGTTTCAGCTACGGGTAGGTACATTGTTTTACGGGATTATTTTGTGAAACTTTTCATTGTCAAGATGGTTTTCCATGCAGTGTCTTCAACTCCCAAAACTATATATTCAGTTCAAATTTGTTAAGTATGTGCTCTTCTGCATTGATTGCATGGGTTTTGTATTATTTAATCTCCAATGTTACACTTTAGAAAATATTGATAGGAAATTGGAAGGAGAGGGGAGAGGAAGGCATGATTTTACAGAAGAGGGCTGCTATCTGGATTTTAAAAAACCTTCCGAGAGAAAAGGTCTTGATCGTTGGACCAAATCCACGGTTGGGATTAGCTAAAAAAGTTACAGTAAAACTTAAACCGAAAACTGAAGCAGATTTGTTTGCTGTTTAGTTGGGTCAATCTGATCTAGAAAGCAACCGAAATGGAATTGAGAATCTGATTAGAGGTTTTAAAGACGTTTAACCCCGTTTCTGGTAGAATTTTCCCTGATATTAATTTGTTTTAATCCCTACCAAACGTACAATTTCTCCACAGCATTCTGAATGGGTCAAACATCGTATGAATCCGTCCAAAAGAAAAACAAATAGAAACACAGCTAATATAACAAAGCATTCATCAGCGATCCCAATATCGGGGTATCAAAATGTATAAAATAATAGGCCACTACAAAAGAGCTTATGAAAAGTCTTCAAATGAAAATGAACAATAAAGGGGGAAAAAGATACGAAGAATATCGCTTGTATTAAAAAAAAAAAAAAGAGATACAAAGAATATGAAGAAATTTTATTTAATTTAATTTCTCAATAATCTTCTCTTTGAAGAGAGAAAAGTGGAGAGGCAAGAGAGGGGGAAGCACTTGACAAAGACTAGAGGGCCGAAAATTTCACGATTCACAAAGACTTGAGAAAAATATAAACAATTTTGGTCAAGAACTTTTCTCTGATTAGGTATAGACCCAATTCTTCTAGGAAATTAGGTATAGATCCAGTTCTTCCAGCATTGACTGGGTTTATATTATTTATAGTTTTCTTCTCTGCAGCCGCAATCGGTTAACGCTGGAAATTAAGGATTTTATAAATGATCCCGAAGTCATGCGTATAAGTACATTCTTCTCCTTGAGAAGAATTGATATATTATGGAGCTTTACAAGTTCAATACTCCAACTGTGTTTTTCTCATATTTTTGCATGCATGCTCTTTTTCTTCACTCATGCCTTGGCTTGAGGATGAGTGGAAATGAGACCGATTGGCTAGCCATGCTTGAAATCAAGGCCAGGATAAATGCAGACCCTCATGCTGTATTGACTTCATGGAATGAAACCATGCACTTTTGCAACTGGCATAGAGTTACATGCGGTCGTCACCAGAGAGTCACCATGTGGAAATTTGAGTTTCTTGCGCGTGATTCATCTGGTGGGCAATAGATTCAGCCACGAAATCCCTCCCGAAATCCGTCTTCTGTGCTGACTGCACG